GAACTAAGAGGTAGTAGACGTAACTAAGTACGTTAGTTACCGTTACCGTTCGTTGTGTATATATATATAGTATAGTATATATATATATATATATATAGTGTGTGTGTGTGTGTGTGTGTGTGTGTGTTGTTGTGTGTGTGTGTGTGTGTGTGTGTGTGTGTGTGTGTGTGTGTGTGTGTATGTATATATATATGTATGTATGTATGTATGTATTAAATTGCACTGGAGAGGGTGTGTGTAAACAAAAGACAGCGTAGATCTCCCACACGCAGAGGATGTGAGATGATTCAAACTCTCAACTCAATCAGTCTCTAATCTGATGTTCTCTTACTTCATGTGCGTCATTCTGGTTCGTATTGTATCAAATCCCGAACGTCTGTATAGTATTATCAGCAAAGAAATGACCCGGCTTGTTCCTGTTTCCTATAGGCTTTCTTACAGCGTGACATGGAAGAGAAGCGTAAGCGCGACGCCAAAATGGCCCAGCAAATGGCCCAGGAACAGGCCAAGCAGCAACACATGCTACAGCAACAGCAACAGCAGGCACAGTATATGCAGCAGCAGCAAAAGGAGCGCGAGGCTCAGATGTACGCCGAACGGGCCGAACGAGTGAAACGTGAGAACATGGAGTTGGAGATGCGACGCGAGTTGTATCTGGACAGAGAGCAAGCCCTTGCTGAGATGAATCAGGTATGTTTAAGAGATGGGGGGGGGGGGGTTCTGGCCACTTGAGAGTGTATGTAGGATTTCGCTTGTCTATAAGTATACACACATTGAATATGCGTATCTCACAGATTTAGTTTGGAGCGTGCGGGTTTGTCTCTGGTGCACCCCAAGCTGGCTGATCCAAGAGTCGTGTGTACGCATACCTAGAGAATTTGTCCAAATTATTACGAACACACCCGAATGTGTGACCCTCGCCCCTTAGACCACCATACAGAGGCGTGGCTCGTATTCTCAACTTACCTCCGACTGCACCGCTCTCTGTCTTCACACCTCTCATACATTCCTCCCAATCCATGCATCAGTTGATGATGAAGAAAACGCAGCTGGACTCGCAGTTGTCGATGGCAAACAATAAGAAGCAGCAGATGGAGCAGATGATCCAACGGTCTGTAGGGTTTTTGTCGTATCTGGATTGTTTAACATACACTGAGTTGGTGGGTGTGTATTGCTCTTGTAGCGTTTAGGCTACCCTCTTATATCTCGAGTCATATCGTGGTTTTTATATATCCACCATAGAGGGATATTGTGGGTGGAGCGGATAGTACAACAGTTCGTAGCGTTGTTGTCGTTGACGTTTAAGGTGTCATGCATACACTCCCTTGACAGTGTATGTATCGTATGTAATATCCTGTTTAAATTGCCTAGAACCTTGTATGTGTGTGTTCGGATAGCTGCACTGTGGTGTACATGCCGGATGCGTCCGATCTCCAGCCCAGCGGCAGGCTGTGTCTTATAAGCTACGGACAAATGAAGCGCCTGATCTCGCTCCCACGCTGAGATAACGCCCATGCGCATGTGCCGGTGTCCTTGGAATACATCTGAATGTACTGACCATAGACCTGTCAGCTCGTGTACGTTCGTAGTCGAAGTTTGAGCAACTGGCTATAATATGAATGAATGTAAGTCGGTGATATGTAACGTATCGTAGCGGATCAGCGCTCCAACCTCAACCTAAGTGATACCTCTAGATATTGCTGGAAAAATGTTTTTTGTGTTCACTAAAATCACCTGGAAGGTGATAGTCTAGTTATGTTGCAGGTGCCAATAGCCACCTAGACCTCTAACCGAAGCAAAGCACGCCTTGCTGTCTTCGTCATATCTCACTGTGGACTTTCACCACCTTACATGAGATGTTAGTAGCCTTACAGTTCTTTGTAGTACACGGCCGTATACGGCTACCCTGGATATCGGGTGCGTCTCTGACCTATCAGCGCTATCTCCTCTGTGTTGCAGGGGACAGGCAGCCAAGCAACAGGCTATCGCCGAGAAACAACAGGTGCAGGCACAGATTCAGCAGCACATGACATCGTTCCAGCAGCTAGAGCAGCGTTACAACGCAGAGATGGCCAACCTCAAGACCAAGCAGGACGAGCGCAACGCTCTCTCGGCGCAGCTGATTCAGATCCACAAGTATGTGTGTCTTCTAAGCCTAGCAATGTGTGTGAGAGGGATGAGCGGTCAAAGCATGGACCCCCACACACACACGCACGCACACATGCGCATTGTTATCTCTTGGCGGGTTGTTCTCGTGGGCCCTTCAGTATCCTCAATCTACGCCGTTTCTACACACACGCGCGCAGCCAATCTGCGAAGGCACGGGGGGCTATTGAGGGGTCTAAAGGTAAGGTGGACTCGGTCGCACAGGATCTATTGCAGAGTATCAATGCACTGCAGCAGTCGTTGGACCGCAATCGCCTGGAGATCAGCAATCGGCGACTCGCATTGCAGAAACAACAGGTAGCGTATGCGATGAGACAACTGGTGTAGATATATATATGTGTGTGTGTGTGTGTGTGTGTGTGTGTGTGTGTGTATGCATATATATGTGTGTGTGTGTGTGTGTGTGTGTGTGTATGCATATATATATATGTGTGTGTGTGTGTGTATGCATATATATATAAAAATGTGTGTGTGTGTGTGTGTTATTGTCGGTGTATGCAGTGCGAGTTTATGCAATTCAACACGTGTATAGTGCTGAGATGTAGATTTGTAAGAATGTCTCTGGTAGCAAGATTCAATATAAACGTATATGTAGGTTCCTAGAGGATGGACTAGACTAGAGGTATGCGTAGGCCTATCGCTGTAAACAGTCTCTGGAGGGCAGATACTTGGAGACCACCGGTGAGTATTTGAAGCTCTTTATTAAGTCTCTATTTACGGAAAGAAATCATCAGGTATATAGTCATTTTTATTTTTATCTATACATACACAGTTAGACAGGTTCATACGTGTTTTGCACAACTTTAGGTATGCTTGTATGCGCGCATGAAGTTCGCACAGTGGTACGCGGGTTTATTGATATTAGGGTTAGGGTTTTTTTCTTGGAGAACTCGTGTGAACCAGCGCAGTCACCATGTGCATCCTTTCAATGAACACCTGTAGGCTAGCTGGAATGAATGTCATCATACTTGCCCTTGTGTGTGATGTCAAATATCATCACACTTGTCCTTATGTGCAATGGGTATTGTGACACCATTCAAGTGCGGCTCCCGTTCCAAACTTGCTTCTATGTACAATGTCGCACTTTACTATGTGGGATGCACAGGAACCCTCGCATAGGTGCGTTATGGATCGCATTTGTCCCATTCCAGTTGGCATGACCACTAGTTGCCTACGCACCACTCTGCAGATATGTTACAAATTCAGGATATGCGAGAGCATTCCTATCATCATTGTCCAGCAATCGTACAAACTGTACCAAGTCACGTTGTGAGATGCACATGGGCGTTGTGGCCAGGTTTGAACGTATACTATCAGTAGCCACATTCGCAGCACAGCATATCCTTAGCCTGATATCAGACAAGTGTACCACATGCCGTACCCTAAAACTCCTAAAACCATAAAACTTTTAAATCCTAATTTTCCTAAAACCCTAAAACAACTTCAGGACTCGCTGAAGTATCTGCAAGACGAGCTAATGGACAAGCGACGCCGTCGTGGCGCTGTGACGTCAGCTATGGAAGAGGAGGAACGGCGCAAGAGAGAGGTTATGGAAAGGTGTGTGGGTGTTTTAGCTGTAGTCAGTCGGATTATATATAGTTTATATGTATATGGTACCATTCTGAGTCGGAGACA